ATAAGGCTCTTCTTGTCTATGGCATGAAAACGAAGTCGTCCCACCGTTAACTTCTAAAAGTAGGGCATCAGAAATGACTCCATCATGAAAAGACACCCGATATTCTAGCGGTTTGCAGCTTCAAACTTTACTTTCCTCTAGCAAACTGAAAGTGAATATGAGTTCGTGATTTTTGACGACATATGGACATCTGCTCTCATAATGCATTTTTAGCGACTTCGTCACTTAGAACAGTCGACGAAACAAAAGACGATTGAGCTTCTTATCTTGAGCCGCTGTGGTAGCTATGAATACCTATCATTCTGTAATAATTAATGCTGTAATTCGGCTAAATTTGGTCCTGATAACCAGGGTTGACAAAGCGATTCGATTTGTTTTTGGCCTTTTCTGGTAAAAATTTTAACTTAAAGCCCACATGTTAGCATTGAAGGGTCATATTCTGTCAATACACTGAAGGTACCGTGATAAAATCCTATAATCATCATCATTCTGTTATACTCTGAACAGATGGTGATGACTTTCGTTCAAGAACAGTGGAAGATTCAGACAATATTTTGTGAATAATATCAGAAAATGGAAGGAAAATAGCCCCTTTTGCTCTTGAATGGTATAGACATTGAAAATTCAGAATGACAATGTAGTGTTAAGGTTTGCGTTAATGTCTTCGTATTTCTTAATGGGTTATGACTTAGTTGACAGGTGAAAAATGTCATAATCAGTTCATATGATTTTATAGCACTTGAGCATGGCGGTTTTTTCATCCGTTCAGCGTTGTCTGAGTTTTCTTTCCTTACAGTAAGATGCTATTCGCAGTTTTAAGTTAGACAGCACAATGAAAAGATGCTTTTTCGGGGGAATTATTGATACAAATAGTGACTTTCAGTCATTTCTTATGGGATTGTTATGAAAGCATCTTTCTTCTAGGCAGATTTGCATAAACTGTATCAGAAAGTCTTTCAACCCTTGGTTAACATTAGGCCGTTTCAGAGTACATGACAGGTTCTCACAGCAGTTGAAATTACCAAACTTCGTTTCGCTTATCGCTTGGTTTATGACGAATGAAGCGCATTTTATCGAACGTTCCCTCTTTTTTCCTCAGTCTTCATCTTGAGCACTTAGTTGGGTAATACCAAGATGACAAACAGTGGAACTTTATAGAGTCCTACTTTTCAGTTCGTTTTCAATGCGGATGCAAGTACATGTCCAGATACGAGATGGCACCTTAGTGTAAACGGCTGTATTGGGACTTGCCATAGTCGTCTGTATTAGTGGCCTTCTACCCACTGTGAACATTTACAGTGCAGACCCTCCTTAGCCCTCCTGATTCTGTCATAAAGCAGGTCACAGGATAACCGTTTTTGACTCATTAAAATGAATGATGTTGTAAAA